CATCCCTCTTGGGTCACCACTTCCACGGGAGGACATAAAACTAAGATAGCAGCTGGGGTGGAATGGGGTGTGGGACAGACTGGATTACTGCTACACTTACTGGCAAACCAGGGTAGGGGGTGGGCCTGGTGGGGGTTATTGTGGGTCGCTCCAACTAGGCTGCAGCTCCCACTGGTTTATGTGAGGGCCAAGTATGTGCAGGACAGAACCAGGCTGGACTGCAACACCCATTGGTTCCAGTGGAAGTCGGGAGTGAAAACAGAACCAACCCAGCAATTGCAACCACCAGCTGATTGGAGCGATGGACAGTGCCAGGCCCTGTACTTGTTAGCACATACAAGAAGTTTCTTTGGAGATCTTCCTAATCTAAATGCTGGACTCAGAACCCTAACCAAGAAAAGAGAGAAGACAGAACAGGTCAACCAACCGTCTCAGCTATGATGGACTATGTCAATCAGTGGATTTTTCAAAGACCTCATAGTGCTTGGAGTGGCAAGATTGACAGCAATTCATAACTGTGGCAATATCAAAACCACCTGAGCAAGAACCTCAGAGCATGCCCTACATCCGGGACCTGGGGAGGGTGGGAAAATGGGTGGGCCTTCTCCCTTAATACCCCCCTTTAAACATGAAGGTAACAATATGGAAAACATACTAGTATTATCCACTTTCCTGTAGCCCTTGAACCTTCTTAACCTAATTAACTATGTAAAGAATGTCAAAATAAAATTTTATTTAAAAAAAAAATTATCCTGCATTACCACTGCACAGGCCCAAGAATGAAGACTTTATATGTCAAAAACTGCAAACTAGATTATTACAGAGATATAGCTAGGAACTCTTATAATCTAATTTCCTTCCCTATAAAATATTGAAGGAATGCTCCAAAATTCTGAATCTTAAATTTTTCAGTTAATGGCTTTTGCTAGAATTCCACTAACTGTTGAAGTTCCCCTAAATTAATATATATGGAATGTCAGGTTTGGTGAGATAGCCTAGTAGCTGAAATCCACTCCTTGCACATGCTGGGATCTCATACAGGCACCGTTTCTAATTCTGTTGGCCCCCTTTTCCCATCTAGCTCCCTGCTTGTGGCCTGGGAAAGCAGTTGAGGATGGCCCAAAGCTTTGGGATTCTGCACCCATGTGGGAGACCCAGAGGAGGTTCTTGGTTCCCGGCTTAGGATCGGCATAGCACCAGGTGTTGCGCTCACTTGTGGAGTGATTCATTGGACGGAAGATCTTCCTCTCCCTCTCTCCTCTTCTCTGTATGTCTGACTTTGTAATAAAAATAAATAAATCTTAAAAAAGGAAAAAGACAAATATACCAGAGGCAATTTCAAAAAAATATACCACCTTCTACATTTCTGTACTGTTTTCCCTAGCTATCCATGGTGGCAGTATAGCTATTACATTGGATTCCGAAACACTTCCTCTTTTAGAAAAAAGCCATCTAATTGAAAAGCTGTGATTTGAGAACCATTACCATAAAACTTCATCTCTTGGGCCCTGCGTGGTAGCCTAGCAGCTAAAAGTCCTTGCTTTGAATGACCCAGGATCCGATATGGGCACTGGTTCCTGTCCCCGTGGTCCCTCTTCCCATCCAGCTTTCTGCTTGTGGCCTGGGAAAGCAGTTGAGGACAGCCCAAAGCAATCAGACCCTGCACCTGCGTGGGAGACCCGGAAAGAAGTTCCTGGTTCCTGGCTTCAGATCAGTGCAGCACCGGCCATTGTGTCACTTGGGGAGTGAACCACTGGATGGAAGATCTTCCTCTCTGTCTCTCCTCCTTTCTGTAGATCTGTCTTTCCAATAAATAAATAAATCTTAAACAAACTTCTTCTGTTGGCTTTGATTCAGATCTCTTCATATACATTACAGGTTATACTTCAGCTGTTGCCTTTGATCTTGTAGTCAGCCAGGCCTGAGGCCCAGCAGCCTCTCCTTCATGCAAGTCTTGAGCTAAGTCTTCCCCAAGATGTCATTACCATTCATCCAGATTATACAGGTCTCTCCCCACAGGTGTGGCCCCGCTAATCTACTCAATAGTTCAGAATATGCTTTCATCTCTTCTCTCCATCCCACCTCCCCCAAACTCCAGCACTGCCAAACTGTTCAGAAGAAATAAACTCATCCATAGCAACTTAAATTAAATGAATGAGCTAACACTTGAATACTCTACAGTTGTATGTGAGTGCAATGAATGTACAAGGACTTGAGGAAGTAATTTTATATGTGACAGCTTTTTTTTTTTTAAAGATTTATTTCTTTTTTATTGGTAAGGCGGATATACAGAGAGGAGACAGAGAGGAAGATCTTCCGTCCAACGATTCACTCCCCAGTTGGCCGCAACGGCTGGAGCTGAGCCAATCCAAAGCCAGGAGCCTCTTCCAGGTCTCCCACACTGGTGCAGGGTCCCAAAGCTTTGGGCCATCCTCAACTGCTTTCCCAGGTCACAGGCAGGGAGCTAGAAGGGAAGCGGGGCTGCCAGGATTAGAACTGGTGCCCATATGGGATCCCGGGCGTGCAAGGCGAGGACCTTAACCACTGCACCATCTGCCGGATCCATGACAGCTTTTTGACACAGAGTTGACACACTGCTTGGGATGCCCACATCCCATAATAGAGTGCCTGGGCTCCTGCCCTAGCTCCACTTCTTGATTCCAGCTTCCTGCCAGTGAACAACCTGGAAGGCAGCAAGCGAAGCCTCAGGTACTTGCATCCTACCATGCAACTGGAAGACCTGGACTAAGCTCCACCTTCCAGCTTTGTGCTGGCCCAGCTGTGGCTGTTGCCAACATTTGGGAAACAAATCAGCAAATAGAACATCTATGTCTCAAAAAAAAAAAAAGAAGAAGAAGAAGAAATGAATAACCCTGGGTTTTGTGGTCATTTGGGACCACAAAATTCAAAATTAATATAGCTAAAAAAATTCAGTAAGTAATGTGTACGAAATAAATTGTACTCGTACACAAAATAAGCCATTGCAGAAGTTATTTCTGTGTATAATTAGATGTATAATTAGGTGTTAGCAGCTTCTTACTTTGGGAAGTTTTTCAAAGGTACATGCCTTTGAAAAGGGCCATGCAGGGGGCCAGCAGTGCTCAAATTGGAAGACTTGGACTTTGTTGCAAATGTAGACTTTGATGCAAAAAACACCTGGATACAGAAGCTACTTTAAGGCACAGATGTCTTTCTGACTTTAACCACAATATAGCATACAAAGTATCTCTCGGTTACTCCTTAGTCTGGCAATATTCAAGGCTGGACCTAAACCTCTGCTTGTCTTAAGGAACCACCTCTCTAGGATCCCCCACTCCTGCACTTGGTCACACAGCTCCCATAGATGCTGTTCTCAAGCTGCTTTATTGTGTCAATTCCATTTCTTCACAGGCTGTATTTTTTTTTTAAAGATTTATTTTTATTATTTTTTTTTTATTGGAAAGGCAGATATACAGAGAGGAGAGACAGAGAGGAAGATCTTCCGTTTCATGATTCACTCCCCAAGTGAGCACAACGGCCAATGCTATGCCGATCCGAAGCCAGGAGCCTCTTCCGGGTCTCCCACACGGGTGCAGGGTCCCAAAGCTTTGGGCTGTCCTCGACTGCTTTCCCAGGCCACAGGCAGGGAGCTGGATGGGAAGTGGGGCTGCCGGGATTAGAACCGGCGCCCATATGGGATCCGGGCGTGCAAGGTGAGGACCTTAACCACTTGCGCCACCGTGTATTTTTTTTTAAGATTTACTTTATTTGAAAAGCTGAGTTAGAGAAAGAGCTTCCATCTGCTGGTTCACTTCCCAAATGGCTGAAATGGCTGAAATGGCTGGGGCTGGACCAGCCAGAAGGCAGGGTTTGGATACTAGCCAGGTCTCCCAGGTGGGTGGCAGAGGCCCAAGGACTCCGGCCATCTTCCTGGCTAGGCACATTGGCAGGGACCTGGATGGGAAATGAGGCAAATGGTTCTGGGTTATAACCCACTGCTCCACAACACACACTCAGAGTCATAATTCTATTCATTCCCTCTCATGGTACACCAAGCAACTTCAGGATTCAATAAGTAACAAGACTCAATCAAGTCCTCCTAGCTCATTTCAAAAATCTAAACATACCTAGTAATGAAAGATGTCCTTAGCTTACACCATAATAACCAACCATCCATTATTACTGCGAAGTGAGCCTTCCATACACATTATTCTCAAAACCCAGATGGTCTCCAGTCACAATCAGCTTGTCCTGACCCAAAAAGGACTGTAGCCTGACTCACAATGCATCCTTCCCCCGACCCCAGCCTGGCCTCAGCCCTAGAAGCACCCCTGGAAGCATCACTCCAGTCCTAGACCCTCCGAAGGCAATCCTTTTCTCGGCTTTCCTTTTTGTTTTAGAGTTTGAGCACATTAACAAACACAGGCCACCTCCAGAGAGAATTTTGAATCCCTGCCCGACCTCAGCGGGTACCACAGGGCAGTACCCAGACTTACACGACAGATACATCCACCATCAAACTTACCTCCGCCCACCATCCACAAAAAGATGAAAAGAAGGATGACACTTATGCATTAAGTTTCGGGTATCAAGAGACACAACCCCAAACCCGGAAGCGCTTTTCAAAAGCAACTGGAGACAAGTTGGCGCCCTCCCAGTCTCCTGCCCCTCAGGGTTGGCTGGGACCCCTGTCCCGGGCTGGGCAGACCCCCTGCCCCCTTGCTTCTCCTCAGCTCCACACGTCGCCCTGTCGCCGGGTGCTCCCCACCCCAGGCCTGTGTCGAAGCAGCACTTGCCTGCTCCATTTCTCTCAGGCCAGGAGGGCTCCTACTCACCTCCCCATAACTCTCCGCGTCATCCGACTGCTCCTCCCTTCCTTTCCCCAAACCCCCTCACTCCCACTTCCGACGCGCTAACTGCTGGCGCCACAACCCCCTTCCTCTCCGAGGACCCAGCCGTCCCACCACGCCCTCCTGTCCGCGCAGCCGGCCGGCCCGGGCCGCTGCCCCGGCGCCCCTCACCTCGCGCCCGTCCTCCAGCAGCAGCCAGTCGGCGTTCGTCCCCACTCGCCGCAAGCACCAGCTCTGGCCTCCGGCGCCGACTGCCGTCCCCCACGAGCCGGGCTTCTCCATGAGCCCAGTAGGCCCTGCTTGGCGCTCAGCGCGGAGCGAGACCCCGACCTGCGTTCCAGCTGCCTGAGTGCCGGCTTGCGCGCGCCATACCTACACGACAGGCAGGAGCAATCGCCCGGCGAGCGCGATCGAGCCGAGCGGCGCTCGGGCTGCCGGCCCAGCCGGAGCGCCCTCCGCGCCTGCGCACGGGGGCGGTGCCGAGGGGACCGTGACGTAGGCGGGATGGCTGCTCGCCACGCTCGCCTCCCTGCAGCTTCTGCCGAGCCGCTCCTCGCAGTTCTGCGGTTCCCAGATTGGAGCCTTCCTTCACTCCTGAAAAAAAAAAAATGTTTTTCTTTTTTTTCCTCCCATTCATTATGGCCGCTTCGTAGCGATTAAAGCCATGCTATTTAAAATAATGCCCACTTTTAACCTGGTGATAGTTTTTAGGCCTGCTTCACCTGTACCTAAATAATCTGCCTTGCAAGATTTTCTTTTCCTATCGCATTTCAGTGACATGTGTTTAGAAGGCAGAAAGGACAAGTACGAAGCTATGGGGCACTGATTGACCTCCCCCAAGATGCTGGATCTGAGTTCTGGAACCATCGCCAGCCACTCCCCAAGGTGCAGGTTAGCAGACATCGGAGTGGGAGAGCCCAGCCGGGACAACCACACTACCTGACCATCTCCTATTCCTGAATAATGATAATAAAAAGAGTGGTACTCTGGACAAATCTTGGGGATGGTGTGAGAGCAAACGGGCTTTAAGGAATTTGGGAGTGTGAGCAAATGTTTCCAATGTGGGTTGTGGTGATGGCTGTGCGATGGTGCACGCTTGCTAAAATGTAACTGAAGGGCCTGGCGCGATGGTGCAAGTGGTTAAGGTCCTCGCCTTGCACGCCCGGGATCCCATATGGGCGCCGGTTCTAATCCTGGCTGCCCCACTTCCCATCCAGCTCCCTGCTTGTGGCCTGGGAAAGCAATTGAGGATGGCCCAAAGCTTTGGGACCCTGCACCAGTGTGGGAGACCTGGAAGAAGTTCCTGGCTCCTGGCTTTGGATCGGCATAGCATCGACCGTTGCGGTCACTTGGGGAGTGAATCATCGGACAGAAGATCTTCCTCTCTGTCTCTCCTCCTCTCTGGCTGTCCTCCTCTCTGTATATCTGACTTTCCAATAAATAAATCTTTTTTAAAAATGTAACTGAAATAACACTGCCAATGGGTAAATGTTATGGTATGCAAATTAAATGTTGTGGTATGCAAATCAAGCTGGCTCATTTAAATTTTTTTCTTCAACAAACACTCAGGCTTTTCCCCTTCGGTTCTCCAGTGTAGTGTGTTAGCCGCTATCTGTGATGACAAGCCAGTGGTGGCTCGATATCCTTTTTTATCCTTTTGGCTTCTCAATGCCTGGCTCACAGTTTTCTTATGTTAAATTATGTCAGGAGAAAAAATATACAGAGAGATAAATATACATATATTGAATGCATCATGCACAGTACGACATTAAAAGACTAGTGTTTGCTAAAAGCTAAGTGCCAGGAACTAGGCCAAGCACCCTACATACATTATTTTTTTTTCTAAATAAGTAATTTATTGGTCTGACACTGTGACACAGCCGGTTGAGTCACTGCGTTCAGTACCTGCATCCTATATAGATACCAGTTCGAGTCCCAGCAGCTCCACTTGTGATCCAGTTCCCTGTTAATGTACCTGGGAAAACAGGAGAAGATGGCCCAAGTGCTTGGACTCCTGTACCATCAAGGGGGGCCCAGAAGAAGCTCCTGTCCCCTGACTTTGGCTGGCTCAGCCCTGGGCATCACAGCCATTTGAAGAGTGAACCAATGAATGAAAAACTTTGCTCTATGTCACTCCTCTCTGTAATTCAAATAAATTAACAAATCTTTTTTTAAATGTTTATCTATAATATTTGAAAGACTGAATGACAGGAAGATCACTCCTCAAATGCCTGCAACAACCAGTGCTTGACCAATGTGAAGCCAGGAGTCTGAAACTTCATCAGATTCTCCCACGTGAGTGGCAAGGACCCAAGTACTTGAACCATCTTCCTCTGCTTTCCCAGGCATCTTAGCAGGAAACTGAATCAGAAGGGTCATGCATGGCCAGGACTTGAACTCAGCAGAATGATATGGGGATGCAGGCATGCCAAAAGGGGGCTTAACCTGCTGTGCCATGATGGTGGTTACACTCAAACTTCCTACTTAAGAATGATGAGAAAAGAGACCTAGAAAGATCTAGTAACTTTCATATAACAAGACTTAAACTTAGGTCTCTTTCCAATGCCTAGTTTCCTAACTCTGGCCTCAATTCCGGCCTGCAGCATTTTTATCTGTGTGGCACTGTCAAATCAAGAACTGCAGCCTGGGCCTGGCATTATAGCTCAACTAATCCTCCAGTTCTGAGCACTGGGATCCTATATAGGTTCTGGTTCATGCCCCAACTCCTTCCAGCTCCCTGTTTGTGCCCTGGGAAGGCAGGAGAGGATGGATCAAAGCCTTAGGACCATGCATCCACATGGGAGACCTGGAGGAAGTTCCTGGCTTTAGATCGGCGCAGCACTGCCCATTGAGGTCACTTGGGGAATGAATCATCAGACGGAAGATCTTTCTCTCTGTTCCTCTCTGTATATCTGACTTTGCAATAAAAATAAATATTTTTTTAAAAAAAAAGGATCTTTCTGTCTCTCTCTCCTTAAAATCTGCCTTTTCAATAAAAATAAATAAATCTTAAAAAGAAGAAAAAGAAAAAAAAAAAAAGAAAGAAACGAACTGCAGTTTGGGACCTCACAAGAGATCAGGAAAATGGGTGTGAGCCACAGCTACACTCACAGCATGCTTCCCCAGCTGTGCATGGGTGTCTGTTAGGACGCCAAGAACAAGAACAGCAGGTGTCCCAGAGGCCATCCCTAGGTTTGCTCAGCTGGTCTCCTCGGGCTGCTCTAGGCTCTGATGGATTTCCAAGCTTTCCCTGGTTTGGATGGGCTTGACCACCAGTGGAATAATGGTCAGGAGTTCTGTAGTGTGACCATCTATTGGGATTCATGTCGTGTTTTGCTCATGATTAAACTGGGATCATAGGCTTTGGGGAGGAAGATGGAAGCAGTTAATACCCTTTTCGTCACGTGGATCCAGGGTACATGCTTAAGCACCTGCCTGGAGAGGTGTTACTCAGTTCGCCCTCCTTCCATACTGTGCTTGTGAAAGAAAGCCGCTAGTCGGTGGGGAGGAATGGGGAATGATACTCTGCTTCCTAATGCAGGGTTTCTACATAAACCATTTGGATTTCTGTTTTTCTTTAAGAATTTATTTTACTGAAAAGAATTACAGAGAGAGGAGAGCCTCACTCCCCAAATGACTGCTTTGGCCAGAGCTGGGCCTATCAGATGCAAGGATCCAGGAGCTTCTTCAGGTTTTCCATGTGAGTGCAGTGCAGTGGCCCAAGGTTTTGGGTCATTTTCCACTGCTTTTCTCAGGACATTAACAGGGAACTGGATCAGAAGTGGAGTGGCTGGGACAGCCAAGATCAATGAGCCTCCTCAAGCTCTGCTTATGGGCACAGGGGCCCAAGGACTTGAGCTATCCTCCACTGCTTTCCCAAGCCACAAGCAGGGAGCTGGACTGAAAGTGGAGCAGAGCTGGGACATGAACTGGCACTCATATAGGTGATTGTTGCTGTTGGCTGAAGCTTAGCTCACCACGCCATGGTGCTGGCCCCATTTGGATTTCTTTTAGGAAGAGCTTTGTCTCTTCTCCTGGGTATATATTTATTTTTTTTTTAAAGATTTATTTTTATTATTTTTTTTTATTGGAAAGGCGGATATACAGAGAAGAGAGACAGAGAGGAAGATCTTCCGTCCAATGATTCATTCCCCAAGTGAGCGCAACGGCTGATGCTATGCCTATCCAGGAGCCAGGAGCCTCTTCCAGGTCTCCCACATGGGTGCAGGGTCCCAAAGCTTTGGGCTGTCCTCTGCTGCTTTCCTGGGCCACAGGCAGGGAGCTGGAAGGGAAGCGGGGCTGCCGGGATAGAACCGACACCCATATGGGATCCTGGGCGTGCAAGGCGAGGACCTTAACCACTTGCGCCACCGCGCCGGGCCCTCCTGGGTATATATTTATATTAGGATGGGTCAGCAAACCTCCAGTTTATATTTTAGGTTATAAACCAATACTGCCTTGTTGTTTATTAGTCAAATCATTCCTGCTTTAGCCATTGCTAGCTCTTCTAATTGGCTGCAGTAACCCTTTTGACCCATTTTGTTACTGTGTTTCATTGAAAAGCTCCTCCTTTAATCGTAGGGGATGCCCTATACCTAGGATCGGCCATTTCTGCATGGAGCTCTGGTTCCTTTTATTGGAAATTGGCATTAAAAAATACAAGGGCCTGTGGCTAAATCTTTACCTTGTAACCTACGGGCTCCTATATGGGTGCCAGTTCATGTCCTGGCAGTTCCACTTCCCATCCAGCTCCCTGCTTGTGGCCTAGAAAAGGAGTCAAGGATGGCCCAAAGCCTTGGGACTCTGTACCTGCATGGGCGACCTGGAAGAAGCTCCTGGCTCCTGGCTTTGGGTCAACTCAACTCCAGCCATTACAGCCACTTGGGGAGAGAACCAGTGGATGGAAGATCTTTCTTTCTCTTCTTCTCTCTCTAAATCCACCTTTAAATTTAAAATAACAATAATAACAACAACAACAATAATAATAATAATAGGGCCCAGCACGATGGCGTAGTGGTTAAAGTCCTCGCCTTGAACATGCCAGGATCCCACATGGGCGGTGGTTCTAGTCCCAGCAGCCCCGCTTCCCATCCAGCTCCCTGCTTGTGGCCTGGAAGGCAGTCAAGGACAGCCCAAAGCATTGGGACTCTCCATCCACATGGATGACTCAGAAGAGCCCCTGGCTCCTGGCTTTGGATTGGCTCAGCTCCACCATTACGGCCGCCTGGGGAGTGAACCATCAGATGGAAGATATTCCTTTCTGTCTCTCCTCCTCTCTGTATATCTGCCTTTCCAATAAAAATAAATAAATCTTTTTAAAAACAATAAATAATAGATGAATCTTAAAACAAACAAATAATATCCAGAAGGCAGGTGTAGTGGCACAAAGGTCTAA